TCTGACCCTGCATAGACAGCAACGCAACTGAAATGTTCCCAAGTCCAGAAATGTAGCAAGGAGATCGGTAAAATAATCCACGTGACATCAGTGGTTCAACCGCAATTATACGAAGCTACGAGAATACTTTTTGTGCGCAAAAGAAAAAAAAAAAACTATTTTATTCAACAATTCGTCTCCTCCGCATCACCCTGTAAACAGCGTGTGCTGTTCTGTATCAGCTGCGTCACGCTGGATCTGTTTCCTACGTTGTTGTGATTTGATCTGTATGGAAACAGCGTATCCGGTGTGACGCAGCTGACACAGAACAAGGGTCAGACAGCTCTCAGATTCCATCAAAAATATCTTAATTTGTGTTCCGAAGATGAACGAAGGTCTTACGGGTTTGAAACGACATGAGGGGGGAGTAATTAATGACAGTATTTTCATTTTTGGGTGAACTAACCCTTTAAGCTGTTGGTTGAGAAATGACGATGATGTATAATTTAGATTTCATATTTTGTTTCTAGGGTGATACTGTAACATTCTGTCCAGGGACTACAGATGAAAAATATCCTTTGGCTAATTTTTGCATATTTACAGTAATGTTTATCAATGTGCACTGTCCAATTTTTATTTCATGCTGACTTTAAATCAAAAGGTACAGCTCTGTATCATTAGCATAGCAGTGAAGGTAAATTTCAGTTTTTTTTTTTTTATGAAGCCTAGAAGTGAATATGACGAAAATAAATCGGTCCTAAGATAGAGCCTTGAGATACCCTGCATTAAGGTGCTCTTGTGTGCTTTGTTTTGTTGTAGTACACCATGCTATCTGGCCAGGTCCCATTTCAGTGCCAGGGGAAGAGTCTAATGCACACCAGTGCAGAAGAGATTATGAGGAAGATCAAACAAGGAGACTTCTCTTTCGAAGGTGAAGCCTGGAGGAATGTGTCCAGTCATGCTAAGGATCTGATACAAGGTGAGACACAACTGAAGACGTTTAGAGACCATTTTGCAGTGTTTTAAATGTGAATGCATTTGTTAAAACTAAAATGTGTCTGACCTACTCGTGGTTCAGAGCTGCTGACGGTGGATCCTGACAAACGGATAAAAATGTGTGGCCTACGCTATAATGCCTGGCTGCAGGATGACAGTCAGCTCTCCTCCAACCCTCTTATGACCCCTGACATCCTGGGATCTTCTACCAAATCAGTGCACACCTGTGTCAAAGCCACCTTCAATGTAAGAAAGTGAAAAAAATAGAAGGATGGATGCTAGAAAATAAAAATTACAACATAACATGGCTGCATGATTTGTTGTTGTTGTTGTTGTTATTGCTGATTAAAAGTACTATTGTCATATTTCATTAAATAAAAAAAGAAAATAAATCAAGTATTTAGGGAAAAAATAATAAAATATTTTATTTTACATTACATTTATTATTGTTATTATTATTATTATGCATAATATATTAAGCTTTCTGTAACTGTAATATTGGCAAACACTGATGTAGTCGCCAATATTTTGTATATCTCTTGTTTTATTGTGTAATACTGTTATGTCTTCCTCAGGCCTTTAATAAGTGTAAGCGGGAAGGCTTCCGACTCCAGACGGTTGACAAGGCTCCTTTGGCCAAACGCAGGAAGATGAAGAAGACCAGCACCAGCACAGACACCCGCAGCAGCTCCAGCGAGAGCACGCACTCATCATCCTCTTCCTCCCAGTCTCAGGATAAGACGCCACCAGGCGGAGAGACAGCCATTATCCCCCAGGCCTCCGTGAGCACACCTCTCACTCTGGGCCCTGACGATGAGCCCTCCCAGGGTGAGCCCCAGCCTGCCTTCACCATTACAGAGTGAACCTGTCTGAGAAACAAACAACAGGATAGGTTACGTAATTCTCCCACCATTCGTTCTCCTCACGCTCTGGCAAGGTGTACAACTCCAGAATTTGCATGCGGGGACCAACTCAAATCCACCACTAGCAATAGATGCACACCATGAGCATTGAAGAGAGAGCTTGAGTGAACTTCTGGTTCAAGTCCCGCATGGCTAAAACTCACTGCATCCAGTCCAGTGTCTCAAACAAGAGGGAGAACTTCACTTTGAGGAGCAACAAATCCTTCCACTGATGGAGAAAAGGAAAGTCTGCTTCTGCAGTGTCCGGACAGACCAGGCACTTTGCTTCAGGCAAAAAAGGAAAGGGATATGTATTTTAAAAGAATATAAATATAATTTATTTAAGAGGAAATTTATTGTTTATACAGACTTCTCTCAAATTTGGTATATCATAGAATTCAGTATATAACAAATTTGTAAAAATGACAGCTCCATTTGTGCTGGGAGCTTTGTGGTATTGATTCACATATCTAACTTAAATCTTTGGCTTCTTCCAAAAGATTTTACTGAAGTAGCAACAATTAGGTGTAATAGTTTCCGTGTGAACATTTCATTGCAAAACTCGTTAATTACCCTTTGCAAGGTAAAAAAAGACGGTTTGTTTCATATTGACCTGTTATTTGAATTTTCTGTTGAGATCCTTTCCTCAGGTTATTTATTTGTTCATTTAAACTTGAACTCATTTTTTAAGAATTGAAGACAAAACCACTGGCTAAAGGTGCGGTCACATTTACCTTTGCTCTAAGAATTTTTGTGGGCGAAATCTAGTTATGTCACAATTAGAAATTTTGCATAGGAGCGAAAGATTTCCCCACGCAGATTTTGCATCAGGTTCAGTTTTTTCACACAAATTTGATACATTGACCAACAAGAGGCTGCTTGGTTTGAAAGTGACTTCTGTGTGAGCATTACTTTGTGCATTGCTACAATATTGACAGTGGACAATGGACATTTTTTGGTTTATCGCTGAAATTGAGGTGTTGCTTTGGATGTTGTTTTACTCGGAGACTTCGTCACTCAAGGTTTTATGGCCGAGTACAAGTTTAAGCTGGGATTGAATCTGCTTAAACTCAACATGAAATCAAATTTGACTCATTTTTACATTTTTAATGCACCAGATTATTTTGTAAACTTGGCACAAACCAAAATGTAATTACTCTTTCTTCCTCTGCAATGACTTTCTTTTTCCAGTGGCATCACAAAGGCCTCTCAGGCTGTTGGATAACGCTACCAAGTAGCTAAATGGCTCTTTTGCCATAGTTTTAGCAAACTCGCATTCAATCTGGCTCACATTCAATGTAATGCCGCCTACTTTTTTTAATGATCCAATCAGTGCATCCAAGAATGCCTCACATGAGAGGAAGAAATTGGGTTTTGATTCATGCTGACTTTAAGCGTCTGCAAAGCCTAATGACACGCTTATCTTACAAAAGATAACCATGACTGCAGGGCCTCATTTTAGCCTGAAATGAAGTGATACGCCAGCTAAAAGACATCTGTGGTTTCCTGTTTGATGGTGGCATGTTGTGTTTTTGGCCCTGTGTTAGATGAATTATGCTTTAAGACGTGCTGCGGCAGAGTCTGTGGTGTTAAAAACGATGTGCTTGCATATTTTCTTCTCAGCATTATCTGTTTCACAAGCCTTGGTGGTTTTGTGACACTAAGGTGCAGCGTTGCAGAACTCAAGTCGGAGTCTACCATATTTTCAGGAGCATTTGGACTCAGCCTGGACTCTTGAGTCCAAATCCAGTCTTGTCTGGACTTGAGTACTACACTCTTGAAAATAAAAAGGATTCCAAAAAGTTTTTTTTCTTTTTTTTTTTTCTTCATTCTATGGCAGCAATGCCATAGATGAACCATTTTGGTTTCTCCAAAGAACGTTTCAGTGAACAGTTGCTAAAATAACAAGTCTGAAGAACCTTTTTCCTCTATAAAGAATTTTAGAATGCAAAGGTTCCATGGTTGTTAAAGGTTCCTCAATGAACCATTGATGCCAATAAAGAACCTTTAATTTTAAGAGTGTACAACACTGCTGAGCTGAATATGTGGTTCTCTGTGTTTGTGTTTTCTAGCTGGTGGAGACATTTTTACAGTTGAAAGGAATGATTTTCTCTTTGGCCTATACGACCATCTGTATTATTCAAAGCATTTTGCTAGGATGTTTGACATGGTGTCATTCATATCTTGCAAGCACTACAAAACTATTTGAAAGGCACTTGAACTCTACATTGCTATGCAAAAGTTATTTTCTTCATTCTTATGTTTCTGTTCGTATCCTGAAAGATCTTTATGCATTAGAAAATAGTGAGTATAAGCAGTGCCTCATCAGGGCAAACATAACTGCCATTTTTAGGGACAGACGCAAGGTTCTGGTCTCTAAGTAAATCATGCATTCCACTTCCTGGGCACTAACCGAGACGAGACATCCCATCATTGAGCTTTTAAATGGTGAGGGCTGGATTGGGACCCAGCGGCGGGTACGCATGCTGGAACGCACACACTCAAACACACATAAACTGGTGCTCCTGCCCACTCGAACCCGGGCAAAGGACCAGAGCAATAAGAACAGCAGGAGCTCGGCTCACTTTCATGTGGCTGAAAGCTGCTGCGTTCAGCCTCTTCCCCATCACTGTTCTCCCTGAAGCTCCCTCATTACTGCCTCCTTTTGTTTGGGTGTATTAATAGAACGGGAATGAGGGGAGGCATAGAGAGTCCTACATTGAACTCTCCTCTGGGAGTGAGGCTTTATTAGATGGTTTGCCTCGCTGCTGTTTGTCCCACTGGCTCCCTGCATCTAATCGCACAAACATGGAGCTTATTTTACGGTTTGATATGTTTTTAGGGGTTTTTCCTCTTGTTTTAGCTGTTAAGAGATTAAGGACCAGACGTGGGTTTTCACGTTTTAGCATTTATAGAAGCATAGTGAGCATCGGCCCTTAAACTGAACGCTCTCCTTTGATCTGTGCACTCCGTTTTTGTTGGCCTATTTTAGTGTTTGTAAATCGTGTTGTCTGCTTGTGAAATGTAACCGAGGGGCCCCGTGCGCATGTATCTGTGATAGCGCCGGGTGTGGGTGGCTCATCTGCTTGTGGATCCACCTTGTTTTTAAAGGGGTTGTGGATTTGAAGTTGGAGAGTTAAAGGGATAGTTCACCCATTAAGTCTGTCATTTACTCACCCTCAAGTCGTTCCAAACCTCAAGTTGTCTTTATTTTATTGAGCATAAAAGAAGATATTTTGAAGAATGTTGGGAACCAAGCAGTTGATGGTAGCCATTGTCTTCCACCGTATGGAAACAAGTTACTATGAAAGTCAATGGCTACCACCGTCAACTGTTTGGTTAAAAACATTCTTCAAAACATCTTCTTTTGTGTTCAACAGAAGAAATAAACTCATACAGGTTTGGAACAAGTGGAGGGTGAGTACAAGATGGCAGAATTTAGATTTTTGAGGGAACTATCCCTTTAATTTTGGAACGTACTGTAAATGGATTTGTTTAATTGCATGGAAACTTGTTCCCTTTCTGTTTCATAATATCTTTAGTAGAATTGCCTTGTTTTAAAGGTGGCTATGCTTTAGATGTTAAAGTCAAACTTTGAAAGTTCAAAACTGTCATTTGACACTTAAAAAAAGGCAAGCAGCCTGTAATTTTTGCATCGACTAAAAAAGTGGCTAGGGGTAGTTGACAAATAACATGGTCAAGAACTTTTGTTTTTTTCAGCATCAAGATTTTAGGTTCAAATGTAATTTGTGTATGTATATCAGTGGTTCTCAATCAGGCGGCCTCAGAAGAATTCCAAGTGGGCCTCAAGATGGCTTATTATTAAAACAAGACAAATTATTTATAACAAGACAAACCAAGCATTAAAATAAACCAAAATGAAAAAATATATATCTTTTTTTTATTTTAATGGGGAACCAGGGTTCCCACTGTCTTCAAAAACATGCATATTAGGAATCCTAATTTTAAAGTGTAGATTCTAGATGTGGAAAATTCATGTAAATACAATTTTATAACTCCCTTGGGTATTTTAATAATAAAATTCAAATAATTTTATCAGATAAAAAGTTAGTAAATATATATATAAAAAAATATTTTCTTAAGTTGTTGTGGATATTTGGGGGTCTTGGAGTCAAAAATCTTGAGAACCACTGTATTATATATCATATATTAATTATATCAAATTTTAGATTTTTTTTCCTGTTCACTTCAGTAGTACTGCAAATTAATATTTAAAAATGACATAATTCTCTCAATATGTTTAAAACAGCATGCAGTTATGATTTTTAGGAAACAATGTTGTTTAAAATAGTTTTAGATTATGTGTAGCACATCACACTGCAGAGCACCAATATCAGTGCTAGAAATATCATTCCAGCTGCCCAACTACAACTTTTTACTGGTCAACATACACTACCATTTAAGGTCAGTAAGATATATATATCACAGTTTTCACAAAAATATTAAGCAGCACAACCTATCTCAACACTGATAATAATAGTAAATGTTTCTTGAGCAGCAAATCGGAATATGTAACATATTTCACATAAAAATGTCACTAACCCCAAACTTGAATATAGCCATCCTTATTGGCTGTATGCCTGTAATTCCACTTTTGGCTAATGTGACTGGACAAACAATCATTTTGTGAAGTTTGTTGTCCCTGACACAAAGCTTTTATTCTAAAACCTTGAAGTTGCATTGAATATTTATACAGTGTTGTAAAACAAACTTTTGACAGTTTTAAATGGAATCCGTAACATGAAAACAGACTCTGTACATTGTTTTGATGCAAGTGTCTCCCTCTCTGACCACTGTCCTGTTTCCTTTCCGAAAGCACCTGTGCATGCGATGCCTTGAATGCCACAGTCTCCGCTCAGTCCGAATCTATAGAAAGGGGGGTTTACAAATGAATAAATGACATATCTGTTTTATTTGACCAAAGTCATTATTTGTAGCAGTGACACTTAATGTAAAATTTCAACAAACACCAAGCTTTAACTTTCTTTGTTGTGAAGTCGTAAAAAATCTGTTGATTTGGTTAGGCTCTTGTCCATGTGCTTCCGTTTTCCAGCATTACCTGCTGTGAAACACATTTATAAATGTAATTCTGTATGTTATAAGAGCCATATTAAGAAGCATAGATTACTAGCACAATTGATGTGTTAGATTTCATTAGATATTTTTTCCCCCGTCTGCCATAGAAATGGACCTTCGTGGCACTTTCCACAAAGCCACCAAAAAAGCGTAATGCAAAATGTATGTCATATTACGCGTTTCTACTGTCCATGGGCTTAGGGGGTTTGATAGTTTAACTGCCAATAATATATGTGTGGTGTTTCAGCAAATTCAGATGTTGATTGTGATGATCTAAAAACATCTAAAATTGAAATGTTTTGCAAAGCCGCTTAGTTTTGAAATATCTATTTTTGCATTTTGTTGTGCAGTTGGCCCAGCACACGTTGCATTAAATTGCAAAGGGAATTTTGAGTAAATGGATTTAAAGGGATTTGTGAACTTTCACAGGCTCTCTTCCTCCTAGTGTGCAACCAAACGCTGCCACCAAGGGGCGCTGTTTACACAGTTTTATGTTTGTGTTGATGGTCATTTCAACTAGTGAAACTTGATTATGGGATGTATATAAGAGCTTTCCTGTCTCTAGACTCTGTATTAGTCTTTACTGTGCACTAGATGTTTAATATTTAGCCATTACATGAAGACCTGAATATCTTATGATAAAAAATTATCTAGCTGGGCTAGAGTTTTTCCTCGTATTAATTTATTTAAATTGAATTATTATTAAACTATAACGGTTAAAAGCACCAAAATAAAGTCCTATTTATAGTGCGTTTTAATGCTATGTATGTATTTTGTAAGTGCTAAGCCATATACTTCACCACACATGACACTGAACCCGGTTGGCGTGTCCTTGTTTTCAAGATTATATTCTTTTGAAATATCAGTCCATTGTGTTGATACAAATGCGAATCGGAGTGTCTTGCATGAGTGTTTTAGTCTCAGATGAGTTGAATCAACTCTGGTCTTGTTAGCAGCTGTTTCCCCATTTGTTTTGTAATTCAAAATATGTTTGAGGTGTTAATTAAAAAAAATAAGGGCTTTGAAATTTTGAATACATATCTTATTGAACAAGGGTAATATAATTTAAATAGTCACAAATGGAATAAACCCTCTAAATTCACAAAAATGCTCGTGTGTTGTGTGCATTTATTCTGCTGTTTTGGTAAGAACAAAAACAACTTTCTGTTTTTAGCTTATATTATGTTCTCAGTGGCTACAATAATGTTTTATCCATATATTCTTCATTTATTCAAAAAAAAGAAAGAAAGAAAAATCTTACAGACCTGTTTGAAGCCCATGAATATATTAAGCCTTTGATTGTAATGTTTGATTTATTTTTACAAAATGACAATCAGGCAAATGTTATGGCTTTCTTTTTTAATGGCTTTTTTTAAAAAAAAGATTGTATCTTTCAAAAGACACCACCACAATAATAATAGTAATAATTACATTTGTCAGAAAAAGTGAAATATTAAATGTTTTGCTATTTATGTATTTTATTATTATTATCATATGCATGTCTGAGCAGGAAACGTTTTGAGGTAGAGATAGTCTGACTTTTGGGGGACTTGAACATGTTATGATAAACTTTCATTAAGCCATGACAGAGTGTATATTAATGGTTGGACACTGTTGTCATAATGTACATCAAAATATATGTCAAAGCATCAGAACCTGCCATTAGGAGTCTTACAACAAATAACTCGTGAACAAAAAGTCAAGATCATTATATAATCAAATAGATTTCACTAAAGTTGCTAGATTCAAAGCAGTGAAGCAGAGATCCATCATTTGAAGTGTTGATTTGAGCACAGATGGCTGTCTCTGAGTTACAAGCTCCAAAACGCAATGAACAGGACAGAAAGCAGAAAGGGCTTGGCGTCTAAAGTGGGAGGTGTTGAAGAGTCACTGGCGGGAAATACAGGAATTCTGCACGGGACCTACATCTCCTATTGTCTCCTCCAAATTTTGACCAGGCTGCCCTGGCGAGCAATGATGGGACATTTTCTTTTCTTCTCCAGCTCGGTCCCGGGGCCCTTCCCTCCTGTTTGCCTGGCATTCCACTGGGCCACCAGAGAAGCTGCTTTAGAGACGGGGCTGCTCGCTCCTGGGTGGCCTCTTGTGCAGGGGGCTGCAAAGGGGAGGAGACGATGTCTTATTAATTGACTGGGTGTCTTGGAAGGAGTGTAGGAATTTGGCTGCGGGAGTAAAAGGAGAGGAACGACTGCCTCGCAGCTTAGCCTGGACCTCCTACTCAATCATAAATGTCAACTAGATATTTACATTTTCTGGAGAAAAAAAATGGAAGCGGTGCTGGCAAGTGCAAAAGTCAATGGCACAATACTATGGTGTTGTGGATGGTTGCTAGGACGTTGCTGAGTGGTTGCTAAGGTGTTCTGAGTGGTTTCTTACTGCGGCTGTTAGGGTGTTCTGAGAGGTTACTTACTAGCTCAAGCCTAAGTTTCTATGATTTCCACCCCCACCCTCCAAAAAATGCTTTGTCAGGTGAAAATCTTAAGTACACACACTTAGAAGGGTTCTCCCATACCAAATATACCGTGACAGTACCATGGTACAGTGATAGTATCAGATGGGAATAAGTCAATAACAAATAAGAGAGTCCATGATTTAAAAAAATTAAAAATCTTTTGAGGATCTAATCTACGTAGAAATATGCTCTTAAAGTTTTTTGTGGTTGTGAACATTTTAAATGGAGAACACCACAGAATAATAAAAAATCAAATACGCAATGATTAAAATGATTCCTATATGCTTATGCATGTTGGTCGCACCACATGACTTTAATTTGGTTGACAAATGTTTTTCAAATGTTTGGAATATTTCAACAAAATTGCTTCCTTGTGTTTTTTTTTTTATAATGATCAATTATTATGCCAAACTAGTCAAAAAGGTTTTCTTTTCAACCTTTTAATGAAACATTTTTCTACATTATGATATCTGCATATACGCTACCATTCATTGGGCCAGTAAGATTTTTTTTGAAAGAAATTAATACTTTATTCAGCGAGGATGTAGCCTATTAAATCATTCAAAAGTGATTTAGAGGAATTTATGTTTCAAAAGATATCTATTTCAAATAAATACTTCTTAATACTTATATTATAGTACGTTATAAAAACATGAAGCAGCACAACTGTTTTAAACATTGATAATGATAAGAAATGTTTCTTGAGTACCAAATCAGCATATGTGACCCTGGACCACAAAACCAGTCTTAAGTCGCTGGGGTATATTTGTAGCAATAGCCAAAAAATACATTGTATGGGTCAAAATTATCGATTTTTCTTTTATGCCAAAAATCATTAGGATATTAAGTAAAGATCATGTTCCATGAAGATATTTTGTATATTTCCTACCGTAAATATATCAAAACTTAATTTTTGATTAGTAATATGCATGGCTAAGAACTTCATTTGGACAACTTTAAAGGCGATTTTCTCAGTATTTTAATTTTTTTGCACCCTCAGATTCCAGATTTTCAAATAGTTGTATCTCGGCCAAATATTGTCCTATCCTAACAAACCATACATCAATGGAAAGCTTATTTATTCAGCTGTCAGATGATGTATAAATCTCAATTTCAAGAAATTGACCCTTATGACTGGTTTTGTGGTCCAGGGTCACATATTAGAATGATTTCCGAAGGATCATGTGACACTGAATGATGCTGAAAATGTAGCATTGCCATCACAGGAATGTATTACACTTAAAAATATATTAAAATAGTTCAATTGTAATAATATTTCACAATATTACTGTATCTTTCATTAAATAAATGCACCTTGGTGAGCATTAGAGGCTTTTTTCAAAAAATCTCACCAACCCTAAACTTGATCAGTCACTGATATTTTTACTTAATGTAATTCAGAAATGGAAAACATATCACGGAAGAGGTGTATTCAGGTCTCTGTATGTCAGAATTACATTTTTAAATGTATTTTTAAGTAAAGTAGTAGATCCGGACTAATAACTATATTTATCTATCATACTTCAATACACTTGTTCAAAACCCTAATCCTAGTGATGCTTGCCTTTTTCCATATTCGCAAGTTTTGACTATCAACTTTTAAAAAAAGAGAGAAACCTGCGTGTGAACGGTGACTGTGATTTGAAAAGAAGCAGCAGAGGTTTGCGTGGAGTGGGATGTGGGAAAGGCCCGTTCAGGTTGGAGTGCTCCTGGAGGCTCTGAATAGGCCTGCTGTGGTTGAGTGTGTCAGTGGGATGTGATTGAGTGGGATGTTCTCAGGGTACGGCAGGAGGGACAGATGAGGGGAGGTGTGTAGAAGTGCAGTAGCTACCAATGTGGTCTCCCCCCTCCCTAACCTTCACCATCAGTGTCCAGAGCTGTAATCCCATTACATGTGTCCCCATTAGCTCCGACGGGAGCCTCTATTGTCTCCTTGTGAGTCGGTCGGAGTCACCATCCAGGCCTCTCCATATTTGCTCTAGCTTCCCACACCCAGCTGTCCCCATGGCAACCCCACAAACACAAACACACACTAATGGCTCGTCTGTGGGTCGCAGGGTGAGGAGTGAGATGAAACGGCGCTCAGCAAGAGTTTGAACTCATAGAAATAGAGGACTACGCATTTAGTGACCTTTTACCAATGTAAGGGAAAATATCAAAGATTTGTGACAGCACTGCCAACTCTGTTGGAGATTTTTATGATAGTTAACTGTACACAATTCCACTTTTCTCACAGCTGCTAACAAAATATATGCAATATTGGTTTGCATTTTGAAACTAATGAACTCATTTTGAAACTAACTTGAAATTATTCAGTCTAGCAGAGCCATGTAGGAAACTGCCTCAAGGGAATTGCATAAGAAATCATATCAGTGATCATTGTTCATATACTTACATATAACATAAATTTTTTCCTTTTATTCATTTGAGGGCTAGTAATGCCATGGTATTCTTTGAAGAATATCTACCATGTAAGTTTCACAGCACATGCAAATTGGACATTTTCTTATATTCTTACATAATTTTCTTACATCATCCTAAATCCTTTATTTTATGAGAATGACCTGCTGACTACATTTTCCCACTTATTACTTGGCTACTTTTAAAACAAATTCATTAAAAGGACACAGATATCACTTTAAATTGTTTTATGTTTATAGAAATACACTACCTTTCTAAAGTTTGGGGTCAGTAAGATTTCTTTTGAAACAAACGAATACTTTTATTCAGTAAGTTTTACATAAAATTTCTGTTTCAAATAAATGCTGTTCGTTTGAACTTTGGATTCATGAAATCATCCTGAAAAAAACGCAGCACAGCTGTTTTCAACACTGAGAATAAAAATAAATGTTTCTTGAGCAGCAAATCAGCATATTCTGATGATTTCTGAAGGATCACGTGACACTGAAGACTGGAGATTGCTGAAAATTCAGCTTTGCCATCACATGAATAAATTACATTTAAATTATGTTCAAGTAGAAAACAGTTATTTTAAATTGCAATAATATTTCACAATATTACTGTTTTTACTGTATTTCTGATCAAATAAATGCAGCTTCGGATGCAGCATAAGAGACTTTTTTCAAAAACAATAAAAAACCTTACAGACCCCAAACTTCTGAAAGGTAGTATAAATAAATATACATACATACGTACGTGTGTGTGTGTGTGTGTGTGTATATATATATATATATATATATATATATACAGTGTTGGGAGTAACGCATTACAAAAGTAATAATATTACAGTAGTATATTACTTTTTGCTGTAACGCAGTAATATAACGCATTCTGAATGCATTTAAAGAAAGAGCAACTTGTTCAGTAAACCATTTAAAAAAAATAAAAAAAAAAAAGTTTCCCCCCTGCTGTACCGAAATCATACCGAACCGTGACGTTAAAACCGAGGTACGCACCGAACTGTCATATTACACCCCTAATGTATATATATATATATATATATATATATATAGGGTTATCAAATATCATATATATGTATATATAAAATATGGACATTATAGAATTCCAGAAAGCAGTAAAATGTGAATACGTGAATCTCGCTCATGAAGAAAGTGGAGTTTGTAGATTGTTTGAGTCTGTCTCCTCTGTCCACCCTACAGATCCATCATGCTGCTGATGGAAAGCTAGACAGACAAAGCCGACCCAGACCTGGTCACCACAACCCCCCTGTGCTTCCTGTGACTCAACACAAAGCCTGCACTCATGCAGACACACACCGCAAAGTATCTAAAAAGTTTCACATTGCTTTCTTTTTCTTTACTACGGATAAATATTCACATAAAAAGCGATGCATTTAATCAGAATTAGCCCATTGCTCTTTGTGAGTTGGTGTTACAGCATCAGTGAGGACAGCAGTGTAAATCTGTTGTGCTTTCAGCTTCTCTTTATGTCTCTGTGCATGTGGATTTGAGTGTCTACCCAATTGGAATATATTAGCCATGTAATTTGAGGTCAACAATTTCACTGATCCATGCCATGAATTTGAATGAAAGTCATTTGTGTGGACTCTGGTGTTGTTTTAAGGAGTTTGGGCCTCTGGAGGACGTGACAGCCAAATCTAAAAATATTATTATAGATTATTAAAGTGTGCATTTGACAATGGCTTGTACAAAAAGTATTTACTAGAACCTTTTATGCAACAAATCTGACTATCTGAGAGCCTTAAAGGGATAGTCCATCCAAAATGTAAAATTTTGTTGTTGTTCCAACCCTGTATGGCTTTTTTTCGTCTGTGGAACACAAAAGAAGACATTTTGAAGAACGTTGTTAACGAAATAGTTTCGGTTCCCATTGACTTCTAGTGCATGCACTCTTAAAAATAAAGGTGCTTCAAACGGTTCTTCACAGCGATGCCATAGAAGAACCATTTTTGGTTCCACAATGAACCATTCGGTCAAAGGTCTTTCTTAACTTTTTAAAATCTGAAGAACCTTTGCCTGCCACAAAGAGCCTTTTGTGAAACAGAAAGGTTCTTCAGATGTTAAGGTTCTTTATGGAACTATTTAGACAAAAAGGTTCTTCTATGGCATCGTGAAGCACCTTTATTTTTAAGAGTGTGGGCAAAAAATACAAAGAAAGTCAATGGGAACCGAAACTGCTTATCTACATTCTTCAAA